TCCTCTTTTTTTTGTCCTACTGTTGTCTGTTTCTTTCACTCTCCTTATTTCCTCTCCTTCTCATCAAGATCTCCTCACTTTCTTATCACTTCCTCATCCTTTCTCCAAATCCTTTCCCATTCTTTCTGTAATCTCTCGACCTTTCTTCTTATTTCTCTCACTCTCTTTTCCACTCTCTCCTCCACCCTCTCTTCCACCCCCTCCACCCTCTCTGTTCTTTTTCTCTCTACTTTCTTATCCAAACTACTCCACAATTCCTTGTCCCCACCATTCCTTTTCTCCATCGTTTCCTGATTATCGAGGTGGCCTGAGGCTATTCATAATATTGTCCCTTTTTTATTCATCATATTTTCATCGATTTACCAACAATTGCAATAAGAATTTTAAAATTTGGCCAACAATATTGACTGGTATATCATTTTATACCAGTTCATGACCAGTTGCCAATCCACTTAGATTTTTTATTTTTTTTATTTTTTATTTTATTTTAAAAATTTTTTTTCATGTTTTTCAAATTATTTTTTTTGCACGTTTTTATATTTTATAAAAATTTAAAATTATGAATTTAATATTATTAATATTCATTAATAAATTAAATTTTTTATTTCCCAATTCAATTTTCTCAATTCAGTTTCAATTTTTAATAAATATAAATATATTTAAAATATTATATTGGCTATGAATGGTTGAGAATTGCAAAACATTTACAGCTAATATAATTATAATATCTAAAAGATGAAATATAAGATTTATTATGTTCGGTTGGGTTTCGATTCTTATCTATTCTTCAGTGATTATTCAGTGAATCCTGATAAATCGGAGATCAAAAGGGTTTAAAACTAAGGCCTTGCAAATTTAACAATAACAAATATCATTAATATAATCGAATAGTAAATCAATGGAATAAACCGCCTAAAGAAACTTTTTTCACTATTGTTGATAAGAATAATTGGTAAGAAAATATTGATAAAATTTTTTGTAATGTTTTGAAATGATCTGTTGGCCTTTGATTTGAATTAGTTTATTATGCGATTAATCTCTTTTTGAACTAAATTTTGTGGGTTAAAAAAAAATTCTCTCGCTAATCATTTTTTTTATAATCAACTAACTGAATTCGAACATTGGATAAACACTAAAGAATAGAGAATATTTTCAAAAAATTTCGAAAAAAAAAACGAAACAAATGAATGCCAATAAATGCATTAATTTTTGATCCATGCATTAGGAGAATTTTTTCCCAGTTTTTTTCTTATAAGAGCGCTCACCATTACAGGCTAAGCTTATTTTGCTAGATTTTACTGCCAGACTTTGGTGTTGAAAGTGAGAAGCGTTACCAGAGAACCACTCGAATTTTTGGCACATAGGCTTCTCCTGTGGGGAATATAACCTCAGTATTGCTGCATCTGAGATAAAAGCACAGGACCAATGACTTGTTTTATCTCTAAGGAGTATGTTTTTTATAAATTTTTGAAATTTTTTATAAGATTTTCATTATTTTTTAAAACTGCAAAGAGTGATGAAGAAAAATATTTTAAATGAAAATAGCCGAAGAAAGTTGTTAACCTTATTAATTTTTTTTAATTGGTTAATATTAATATTTTAATATTAATATTAATATTATTATTAATATTATTTATATATTAATATTAATATTAATATTTTTATAATATTTTTTTCCAAGAAGTCACTTAGCAATAAAGGTTTATAGGTGGGTTTTTGAATAACAATTCATCCGAGTTGGAGTCACAGGCTTCGAACCTTGACGTTAGTGACGATCTTGGTTAGAATTCTTGGCTCTTTCATCTGCTTTCAATAAGTTTTTGAAAAATCTATCCTGGGTTACTTGAACTAGATGTCTCTAAAACTAGTATAAAATAATAAGAAAAATTAAATAATTGATAGTCTCTAAAAATTTTTGCAATGCTCCAGAATAAATTATTATAGTGCCATTAGTGTTCAATTGGTACCATTCATATTTATTGCTATTTTAATTAATGGTTCTGGTTTCTATAATTCATTTCTAGAATTTTTTTTTATTTATTTTATCTTCTTTTTTAATCAATTTAAAGACAAAAATAGTTCGAATGGATTTCAGAGAAAAAAATTGTTGGAACTAAAAAATATATTGCTATAACTCGAAAAGACAAAAAAAAATTTTGGCTTTCAACGATTTATAAAATAAATAGCTTTTTAATAGAGAAATTTAATTCGAGAAAAAATTTAGTAAAAAAATTTAAAAATTCAAATTTTTTTAAAACAGTTGTTAAAGGAAAGAAATTTTCATGAAAAATGCAAAATTAGTAGAGTTTTTTTTTTTTTCAAATTCTTGAAAAGATTTATTTTACTTATTTTATTCTTTACTAAAAGCTTCGGAAAATTTTGTTTCCTCATCTTTTCAAATCTATTTGTTTGCTTTTAAATATTTCTTTAATTTTACTTAATTGTAAGCATTTCGAAGAATTTTTGTGAACAAAATATTTATTTCGTGAATGACTAACATATCCAATTACAAAAAATAAACTCCATTACTTTAATTTAATGTACAATATAGTTTTGTACAGTTTTTACAATTTTTGTATGGAAAAAATTTTAGAGATTTTCTTTGGCCTTCTTTTTTTTTCTTCTAGCACCTTCACTCGCACCATTACTCAACATTATGCTGGCTGCGTTGGTTACAAAGGGGGGAGGCCAGGCGCGATTTGATACCATCGCTTTGGTCACGAAGATTTTTAATACAAAATCTTTATTTTTTTATTCTTTTCCATTAACGATTTGAAAATGAATAGAATAGCCAAGCGTGGTGTACTTTCTCGGTTATTCTTTCAAAGCGATAAAATAAAATAACTGAACTTTTCGTTAAAATTGTCAGTCTCATAAAAATCTCATTTTATGAATAGTCAGCCAATTATAAAAATATAGAAATATTAATTGCCAATTATTTGCTTTAACTTATTCAAGCTAATTAAAATATTTTCTTATTCTATTTGTTAAATTTTCTTTTTTTACATAAAAGTAAAATTTTTTTCTCATAGTATTAATGAATTGAGGATAGAATGGCTCAGTGGGCTTTTCCTCAATTGGGAGCGCTAATGCTGAGGTTCGATTCTCCGCAAAAGTTATAAAAATTACAAAAGTTACAAAAGTTACAAAAAAGTTACAAAAATCCGGGTGATGCTGGCGACTTGTATTTTTATCGCCAAGGGATTCCCTAGAATATTGCCCAATGCGACAAGCCAGTGGAGCGAGTTTAACCAGTAATAGTGAGGTCTCTTGAAAAAAAAATTTTAAAGAATCGGCTAATTTCTTGTTTCTTTTCAACAATAGCGCACAATTAATTAATTTTCTTGGCTTAATAGTTAGTATTTGTTTCAGCAATATGTTTTTCGCAGCAGTTTCCTTCATTCTCATTGATTTTATAAGTTTCGTTCTCAGGAATTTTGCGAAAAAAACCAACCATCTGTGGTCAAAATTCAATTCGAATATTCAATGAACATATTTTTTTTTTTTTTTATTTTGAATAAGCCATAAATAATGGCCATCAATATTTGGCCGCAGCTATAATCACAAAAAAAGATTTTTTTGAACAAAATAAGATTCTTGAAAAAATATTTTTTAAAGTCGAATTGCTTATATAAATTAGTAATCTATCTAAATTTCTGGAATAAAATCTATGCAACTGGTTTTTCACTGGAGGAAAAGCAAATCGATTATTATTTTCCAGTTAATTAAATTGACTAGGAATAGACTAGGAATAAATTTGACTAAATGTGAATTTTTTTCCATTATTTTAAAATTCCAAGGAAACGCACTGGCAAAGTTTATAAGTTTTAAAAGTAGAAATAATAGTAGAAAGGCTTAGTGGGATGTCGTTCATTGCGGAGCGCTGATATTGAGGTTCTACTCCTTACAGGAGTAGACTTGTCCAAAAGTCCTGCATTTGTTTGTACCGCTACGGTATTCCTCAGCATATTTATGATAAATCGGTGGAGCGAATCTAATCAGTAATGCTGAGGACCCTTTAAAAAAAAAAGAATTTAAGAATTTACTTAATATTCTTTTAAACACCAACAAATTAATTATTTTATACTGTCAACAAATTAAGTTTAAATTTTTATTCGAGTTGTTAGCTAACTTAACCAAATCCAACAATAATTAGTGGAGGAAGAAGAAAAAGAAGAAGAATGAAGTTAAGTCGAATAAATTATATCTCTGATGGTGATATATTGTTAGATTTTAAATTTAGACTTAAGCATTGTAAAAACTCTGTCATTTTCTCTATTTTCCATTAATCTGCCTTAAATTTGAAATGATTTCAATGGAATTTTCTTTCGTTTTTTCTAAGTTTAAACAGGAAAAAATTGGTAAAAAATAGATTTATAGAAGTTATGATAAATATTCATTATATATTCGTAATATATATTTGCCATTTTCCATTTAATCGAAAAATTAAGTTATGTGGGCCCATTACCATATATATATATATATATATATGTGTATATTACAGCTTCTATTGATCAGAGCAATAGAAAAAGACTAAAGAAGCCTAAATAACTATATAGCCTAGCTAGCCAGCTAGTCACTATTTTTATTGCTAAAATTCATTTTGCCGTCTAAGTTTTCTTTCGCCTAAATTTAGTGCTCAATTAGGATGCTTAATGAATTTTTTTGCCCTAAGCTTAATTAGGTAATTTTTTTTTTAAAGTGAAAGGCTTGCATCCAAAGAATTTTTGAAAATAAATACCGAAGAATTTTTTTCGATCGTTTTTTTTCTTTTTAACTAATTCTATTTGGCTATTTTTTAGTACATCTTGTAATTTAATTTATCCAAACAAGAGGATTTGCTTTTGTATCGTCGAAAAAAACAATTTTCAACTTTTTAAAGTAATTTTTTATTTTTCTAAGTTCGCGTGAAAAGCCAACGTTAGATGCGTTGTTTTTATCTTTCAAGGCATTAAGAATTTTCTTTTCTCAAAAAAAAGACGAAATTTTTTATTCGATCGATGCCAATTTTGAAAATTGTCACCGGCGGAGATTCATTTATTAAAGAAATGGTTTAAGTGCTTTTCTTAAGAAAATCTTCACCAGAAATATTATACTTATACTTAGCTTTTGTTAATTTTAGTTATTTCTTAGAAATTCTAATATTTTAAATTTTTTATTGCAATAAAAATTTTAATTTTTTTCTAAAAAATTTAAAAAAATTAGATTTTCAAAATTTCGAGAAAGAAAAATTTCATTGAATTTTCCTAATATCAAGTTTTTTTGCTTTTCTTTTTTTTAAAGTATTATTTAGTTTCCACATCGTTTTTTTCCTTTTTTACTTTCCGTATTCTTAGAAGGAAATATACATTTTTTTTCGTTTTTTCAGACATTGTGGGTCGCATGTAAAGCAGTTTCGTTCGGCACAATTATAATTGTGCTGGGTTTGTTGATGACCATCCTTGGATATTTCGATTATTATTTTTCTGAGGTACGATTTACTTATTCGAAATAATCGTTTCTCTTATATTTATTTGAAAATATACAAAAAAATATTTAAAATATTGATTTAGATATTTCATTTTCTTTTCAATTTTTATTTATTATCATACCCATGGGAAATTTAATGCAGTCTAACCAAATAAATGATAAGAAACTCTTTTATCATAAATCATTTTGAATAAATATTTTATTGAATATTGAATATTGAAAATTTTTTGCAGCATTTATACCAAGTTTTATTGATAATTTTAGTGATAAAATTCTTCTCATAATTTTTAATTACTTAAAAATTATTTCTTCTTCCATTTTAAATTTTTAAGCCCGTTTAGGATCTTTTCTAGCACCATAAAACTACTTTGTGATAAGCAAAAGATAGCCAGAATGAAAATTTGACAAGAATTTGAATTCAACAAAAAAAAAGCGAATATTATTTGCTCTTAATTTGTGCATATGATTTTGCCTAGCAACTAAAATATTAAATACTAAAATTTTTTAGGAGATAAGATTTAACAAGGAAACAGCAAAAAATGAAACAACAATAAATTTAGTAAGGCATTATCAGTTGAAAAGCCTTCAATATATTGGGCCAGTTTTGATGGGAATTGGATCATTTATTTTTATTATTGCCTGTGTGATAACACTCGAAAATCGTGATAAACATGCACAAGTAAGTTGCTGTGTTTGATTTATTGGCTTTATTTTTATTTATGATTTTAAATTTAAAGATTTTCAAGAATTATTTCATTGGTTTTTAAAACAGATTTATCTTTTTTTGTACCTTTCCTTTTAAACCTTTATCTATCTAATAATGGTACCACTTGAACTGGGTTATGGGATGAAAGAAAAGGCGATACTTCCATCGCTAAATGATTTTTCAACGAAAGAGGCACATTTTAGCAGTGAATAGAGCAAGTCAAAATAGAAATGAGTTGGAAAAAGATGAAGAAAAATTAGAAAATATTTTAAGCACATCGAAATTTTCGAGTATTTTATTTTCTTTTTTTATTATGAAACTAGATATTTATTTTATCGCATATAATATTCTTGTAACTAATCTTATATATTTGTATGAAAAGTATAAAAATTTCTTTTTTTATGAATAATTTTCTTAAAATATGCTAAATCGATTTGCTAATTTCTGGCTATTAGCTAATTATCATTATTTCCTTAAACTTTTTTTTTTGCATTTATAAAAAGATTATGAAAAATGATGAAAAAATTTTTTATTCTTGAATGAAAATCTTTTATTGAAAAGAACGAGAAATAAAAATAAAAACAAACGGAAAAGAGATAAAATTAGAAGAAATTAGAAGAATTTTTCACATTTTTATGAAAGAATTTTTTATCAACCAAAAAAGAGAATTTTTTCTTTAAAAAAATTTTTATTTTCACAAAGAATTTCGATTAATCGAATACCTTTGAAGAAACGATTATTATTTACTTTTAGTGGGAGGAAATTTTGCGAAAGAAAAGCAAAAAAAAAAATAGTTTAATATATTTAATATATTTTTACGAGTTCATCCTTACGTCTTTCACGTTTTATTATATTTCATATTAAATGTTATATTTTTATAAATAAGGAAAATTTTCATAAATAATTTTTTTAATAATAAATATAATAAGTAATAATAAATAGTTTAACATATTTAATAATAATTTGTGACAAATAATTTAAGAATAACTAATAATTTTTAGCCCTTAACCAATATTTTATTTATTTCAATAAAAAATAAAAAGAAAGTTTTAGAACCTGTAAAACCATTTTTAGCCTTTAAGGCCCTTTCGATATTTGTACTTCTTAAGGCCCTCACAATGTTTTTAGTCTTTAAGGCTCTTTTAATAAATTTATTTTTATATTATAAATTTATTTTTTAGATTTTATTAAATGAACCGAAGAAATCGCAAGAAAAAGTGATATCATCGGAAGATGCTGAATTTATTGGTTTTAGCGAAAAACGAAATAAATTATTAAATGAAATAGAGAAGCGGAATTCGGTGGAATATTCAGCAATAGAATCAAAACGTTTGTTATTTTTTTTTTCTAAAGGAAAATTTTCCTCCTTTTGCAAAAAAAAGAAAAAAAAACGATTACTATTAGCTGAGATTGTTTCATCAAAGATTCATTGAATAATAGAAACTTTACTGAATTCTAAGCAATCAGTTCGATTTTTTATTTCACTGATAATTTTTATGTTGATTAAAGGATAAGAAAAGTTGCATTAAGCCAAGGGAATATATATTAAATTTAAATCAATTAAATCAGTTTAGAATTTTAATCATTTTTTACGATTTCGATCAAATAAATTTTCATTCTAATAAATGATAAATAAATGATAAGGAACTGATAAAGAATTCATCTATATTTTTTAGAATTCAATAATCATTCTCGTTAATTCACAGTTAAAAAATTCTTTCTTTCGATCTTTCTAATTTATTTTCCATTATTATTTATTAGTTATTTCATTGATTTACGACAAAAAAATTCCCAAATATCCTTGTTGAATTCGAATTTTACGCTAATTGTTAAATCGCCTTTTTATTCTTTTATCATTTAATTAAAAAAATTCAAAATATTTCGGTGCGATATGTCACATGCAATATTTATTTGCTCCAATTACGCACTCACCATTTTTCATTGAATTCGCTGCACTGACCGTTAGTTGGAAAAAAGGGGAATCACTTAGGACAGACATATAACAAGTGAGTCGCCTACATCGGACTAAACAATCAGACTTTTTGCATCTGCAAGAACTAAAGCTTTATTTCTGTTGGCAAGAGGGGAATCAGGATGCTAAATGTGCTGGGAAAAACTCACTCGACTAGTCTACCCTTTTTATTATTTTTTTTAAGAATTCTCATCATTACTGGTTAAACTCGCTCCACCGGCTTGTCGCATTGGGCAATATGCTAGGGAGTCCCTTGGTGATAGAAATACAGGTGAGTCGCCAGCATCACCTGGATTTTTTAAATAGGTTTATTTCTGCCGGGAATAAAAGGGAGTCAGCATTAGCGCTCGTAGTTGAACAATAACCCACTGAGCCATTCTATCCTACCCTTTTTATTACAATAATTTTACTTTGTGGCTTTTTAATGTGAATCCAGCTATCCATACTTTAAAAGCTTTCTAGTTTCATCCATATTTTTTTGAATTTTCTTTTTCAGTATCTAACGAGCGAAAATATCCTTCAGCACCATGCATGCCTGAGATAACGGAGGTCGATGATATGAGGTTACTCATTGTTACAATTTTATTTTCTTCTTTCTGATTTTCTGCTTGAAATTCCTTCCCAGCGATTAACTTTTAAAAGGCTTATAGGCTTCATTCAATAAAGAAAGCTAATTGGTATTTTTTCTCGAGCAACTTTTACTTCCAAATAATATTTAAATGGGAAAATTATGTATGCAGAATAAAATTATGTAAATCATACATAATTTATTTACTCAATATCAGAGGTAAATAAACATTCCAGGAAGCACCGCAGTACGATGATAAGCGATTATCACGAACTGAATAAACTTCACACTAATGATAAGCAATTATTGATTTCATTTCCTTACGACAGAAATATTTCTGGCTCTTTATTAAAGTAGGTTCTGTGCGTTTACCTATAATCTTATTATCACCTAGCTTTAAAATGGCTCAATGAGTCATTACCTTCCCTTAGGAGAGCAGGTGGGATTCTACTCCCAAAATCGATGGAACTAAGCAGATTTCCAAAGATCTAGACTAATAGCTGCATCTCTCCGTCAAGTGACAAACGTTTATCAAGTATAAAGACAGCCAAGCGAGGTTAGCCCGAAATGGTAAGATTTCTTCAAAAAAAAATTTTTTTATCATTATTATTATTTTTTCGAATCTTTGTTATAGCAAGAATTCAAGTTCAGGCAAAATACCATCGTTGAAATCCATCATCCTCCGATCAGTGAGAGCTCTTCTCCAAATTTTGTTGTAATTCCATGTTCATCCAAAAATGTATTTCAATCAGATCAAATTGATGGTTCTTTTCGACAAATTCATTCCCAACGAAATAGCCCAAAATTTTTATTCGGGCAGCCAAGATTTTTTCCAAATGATGATCTTCCTTTTATTGAAACAAATACTATTAAATCGACAGTTGTTAGTAACGATAATATTGCTTTGCTTCGTGCTCCACTAGCTGTTGTTGAAAATGATTTATATTCTTCATGTTCTTCCTTATCTGTAGCTCATAAAAATGATGAAATGATTAATTTCAACAATGCTAACAACAACTTATCAGTTTTACCTAATGGCTTATGAAATCATCGAAAAATCTTATCTTCTAAGAATTATCAAAATTGCAGCGAAATTATCTAAGTAAAACGATATTTTTTTCATCACTAATAATTTGTTTTTTTTTTTTAAAATTATTTTATTTTAATTTAATTTTTTATGTAAATAATTTTGAAAAATTAGTGCTCTAAATAGTTCGTATTTTATTGTTGCAGATTATTGAAGGGTTTAATTATTTGAAATGCAATATTTATACAATATTTCAGCAAAATTTATTGGCAAATTGGTTGAGCAACAAAAATTTTCGTTGGTTTTTTTAACAAAATACAAATTATTTAGCATAAATGATAATTCATTTCCATAATTTTATATGTAAGTTCTGGTGCTTCGTACTTTTTGCATTTTGCTCATTCTTTTTTTTTTTGAATTTTTATGCTTTATTGTTGTTATTGAAGAAAAATAAATAAATATTTGATGTGAATTTTTTTCAATATTTTTATTTTTTAATTCTTCTTTTCTTATAAATTTAACTTTATAAATTCTAAGTTATAATAAGTTATAAATTTATAAGTTATAGATTATAAAGTTATAAATTATAAATTTTTATTAAAATATTTTTTTGAATTTTATCAATTTATTATGGTTTTTTGAAAATATATGAATTTATGGTCGATGGTTCAGTGGTAAGATGATTATCATCGAGAATCGAGTTGGAGATTCGAATCCGCTGACGCATCACCCTTCGTTGGGCGATAGTGTACCCGAATGGAGAAAAACAAAAAAAGAAGTAGAATGGTCTGTCGCTCAGTTCAGAGCGCCGATGCTTTCTACTTCCTGCAGGAGTAAATGTCCAAAAATCGTGGTGATATTGGCGATTCATACCTGTACTTCTATCGCCTAGAGACTACCTGACACATTTGTCTAATTCGACAAGCCAGCAATGCGGATCTAACCAGTGGTAAATAATTTTTAAAAAAGAAATTTATCAATTTATTCTGGTTTCATTTAAGTAAAAAGTAAATATGAATAATTTTTTAGTCTATCAGAAAACTGGTACATGAAAGAAATTCAGAAGGTGCAAAGGGTTGATGCTTGATAAACATTTCTAAATTTCAGCAATTAATGGTTTTTCATATGCGATACTATTAAGCCAATAAAAATGGTCATTTGAAGTTGCCATAGGTAGTACCACAAATTCAAAGTGGCTAGAAGGACCACTATCTTCTTCTTCTTCTAAAAGCTCTCACCATTACTAGTTAGGTGGCTCCAACGGTTACAAGGATAAAACGCTTCCAAGCGGCGTGGTCTGATACCATCTCTAGTAGTAATGGAAGCCATTCCTTTTTCCATCGTTTGAGTCCATATATTGCTGGTTCATCTATGCGTTCAAAATCTTTTCTGACCGTATCAATCCAGGTCTTGATTGGCTCAGCTTGCTTTTGGCACCACCCATCAAACGGCTTAGCAAGTAACGAAATATGCGTCAACTCCTGCGGTGGACAACGGAGAACATGCCCTAACCAGCGAAGACGACGATCTGTGATAACATTGTTAATACAGGTGATATTTGAGCGAAGGATACAAGGATACAATCATGTTCAATTTCCGCTCGACGGATCCTTAAAATGTAGCTTAGATAAAAGTGGTCAAAGGCAAATAACTACTTGATATTTTCCCCTCTCATTGGCCATCTCTCCCAGCAATATAGCAAGATCGAACAAATCGCAAAATATAGATGCAGATTTTCATTTTTATTGTGATTTTGCAACGGCTCCATAAAGGTTTTCGTCAATCAGAAGAACGCATTTCTAGCTGCCGTGATCCTGGTTATAATATCGTCTTTTGCTTGGCCATTGGTATTAGAGTGGACCCAAGGTATTCGGGCACTTCCTCGACTGGTAATATATTTATAAAAAGAGGCATTTTATTCTTCTTGAGCATAAAACGAAAAGGCTTTAGTTTTATTTACATTGATTCTCGCTGCAGTTGCTACGTCATAACTGTCAGCAACGAGGACTAAATCATCAGCGTATTCAAGGTTTGTGATGCTGTGTTCTGGACTGACTTGGACACCTCTTTAGTGCTTAAAAGCGTTATCCAGCCTATCGCATAATTCAATACTGCAAGAGAAAGGACCCAACTTTAATATATATATATATATATATATATATGAGGATAGAATGGCTTAGTTGGTTATTGCTCACTTCAAATAGTAAGGTTTTATTTCCAGATGAATTAAATCTGTCCAAAAATCCGGTTGTATTTCTATCGCCAATTCTACCGAATTCTCTGGGGTATTTGTCGAATGCCAGCGGAGCGAATGTAACCAGCAATGGTGAAAACTCTTTAAAAAAATCTAATCGTGCTGCCCTGTCGAGTTGTCTCCATTCTCAAGGCCATTTCACTCTAATAGTGATTCAGCCGTGCTGCAAAATGGAAGTGGTTGAATTCCGGAGAGATCCCTTTAGTTTGGAACAGGATTTATTTGTCCTTCGAGAAAAGTCATTGATAATTGTACCGTTGAGATGCTTCAATAATTCGGTTTGAAATGAGCTCACTGTCCCCGAAACTGTTGAAGGTTTCAATAAACGATTCAATAGTAATTTTCTATGAATAAAATTGATAAAAAAAATACATTTTTGAAATAAAAATGAAAAAAAAATTCATCTTCGAAGAATTTATTGAAAAGGCCAAATTCCAGGCTCACATATCTCGAGCCGTAAAAATAAAACAATCTACGCTAAATAATTCAATATGAAATGCACTAAAATAAAAAAATAATTAGGAGAGGAAAACCATTTGAGACAAATCAATTGCAACTATTATTTGCAATACTTAACAATAAAGAATTTTTTGAATAATAATAAATAATAATTGAATAACTATTAAAAATTATCATTATCGTATTAAAAAAAAAATTATTAAGAATTAAAAATTAAACTATTAAAAATTAAAAAAATAGCTAAAAAAAATTTATTGAGATTAATAATAATTACTAATTATTATTATTAATTATTTTATTTATTTATTATAATTATTATAATTATCAAGATTTTTTAATTATTTATTGATTTATTCATTTAATAATTTATTAATAATTTATTCTAATAATAATAATTAAGAAAATTAATAAATAATTATGATAATTATAATGATAATTATTACTAAAAAAATTACTTGTTTTTCGTTGAAAGTTATAAATACTACAATTTTTTTTGCTCCAACATTTAATATATTTTATTATGTAAAAATTCTATACAAAACCATTTATTTGTGAAAAAATTAAAAAATATTTGAGAAAACAGGAAAAAAAATTTCTATTTGTCGATATTATTAATGAATAACTTTTTAGAAATAATTTTAAATCGGTGGCTAAAAAGTAAGCAAACTGAAGCATAAATGAAACATAATATATGTTAAAGATTGGTTTTATTTATCGTAGAAAAAGGCATATATGGAAGAATTTTATTATTTATATAAGCAAGAAAATAAGTTTAAAAATAAATAGATAAATAGTATTTTATTACAATATAAATATTATATTATATATAAATAAATATAAATAATATAAATATTATATAAATATAAATTATTATTACTTAATATTAGCAGTAAAATTATATAAATATGATGTGAGAATCGAGGCTTTAGTTTGAATCTGCCAATGTAGCACTTTTTGTTGGAATCGCCTAACGGGAGAAAAACCAAAAGTGAGTGGCATATCTCAGTGGTTTGTTTTCCTCAATTCGGACGATGCTGAAATTTTATAGCTGGTAGGAGTAAACCGGCTGATACTGACGACTCATCTGTACTTCTATCACCGAAGGGCTCCCTGGCATATTTACCTAGTCAAACAAGCCAACCAAGCGAGTCTAAGAAGAATATGAAAGAAAACAAGTATGAGCGATCATCTGAAAAAGGTCGATGAAAATTTGAAATGAGACAGCGAAGGAAGATTTTGAAAATATAGGCGCTTATTATGGAGGAAAAAAAAATTTGCTGCTATTATTTTCAGGTATAGCATCGAATGGCATGGAAACGCCTCCTCCTCATCCTTGTAGCAAACTCAGCCAGCTCAGTGAGCTTTATCAGTTTAGTGAAGAAGAAGAATATTAGGGAAAAAAAAAGATTGAAAAAAATGCAGTGATTTGGAAAAATTTTTAGAAAATTTTGCCTATATTTCTACAAAACTTCAGTTTTAATCTTTCTTCAAATTATTTAAGTGATTTAAAATGGAACTCATTTATTAATTTCAATAATTTTCAGAATTTTTCTCGAACATTAAGAAAAAAATAAAAATAAACAAAAATTCCATTGAAAATTCCTTAGTAAAAGGTGAAATTCAAATAAATTTCGAATAAATTATATAAGCACATTCATAATTTATAAAAAACAAAAATGGAATTATTTTGTTTCATTAGCTTTTCAATTCTTAAAAATCTTAAAAGAAAATTATTTAGCGACAACCGAATTTTTGGACAAATATCTACTCCTGCCAGGAAAAGAATTTCATCTTTGGTGCATCGAATTGAACAACAACCCACGCCACATCTCCTTTGGTTTTTCTCTGCTGGGCAACAATGTGAAAGAATGGAGAATCGACATATTCGAACCAAAGCCTCGATTCTCGCACCATACTTACACAATAGAGGGACCACAATCACCGTGGTTTTTGAAATTAATATAAGTTTATATATATTCAACAATTTATATACTTTCCTGTTTTTATTCGATTTCTCTCCCTCACTACAGCGAAGAAAAAAAGCCTAATGAATCATTGATACAAATCGTTCTCATCATTTACAAATTGTTGTAATATAATAAAAGTATAGTTTTTATAAAATTGAATAAGATCTTCTAATTTAACGGTGACTTTTAATTTTATTTATTTCTAAAATAAATTTATTAAAAATATTTTAAACAATTAAATACTAGAAATACCATGGTTATGCGCTCTACAATTAACATAATTAATTTATGATAAAAATTATGGAAAGAATGATTTCTAAAATGAATTTTTTCTTCCC